AGAGAGAGAAAGGAGGAACCAGAGGCACCTTCAAAAGGGTTTTCATACTATGATCTACCTCCCGCTCTTCATACTATGATCTACCTCCCACCTCAACCAGCTTAGATGATGGACATGTGTGCATGCCCAGAATGTACAGGGAGACTTCAGGATGAGAACCTATGACGTTCACATGTGGGTCCAGAATTACAGAGCTGTGTTACCACTGCAGCTGGTTGATGTGAGGTTTTCTTTGAACAGTGGTTTTCAGGTACACACTCATCCCACATGGATATTTTCAACACACTCTCAAAATGTTTTTGCATTGGGTGGGTTAATGGAGCCTAATTTGGCAAAGAACATACTGGTTCTTAGGACACAAATCTGAAGTTAGAGGTGATTTTTTAAAACACTTTTATAGTTGAGTAAGGTTTTAATGAACTATTGTATTCAAGACTGGCCGCTGAATAGATACACCAATGAGGAGGCTTTTCTAGGTGCTCACAAACTAAAATACTTGTCATTTTCAGACCAAGACATTTAAAATCCAGGTAGCTACTTCCGTTTTTCACCTCCTAATGAGTAGCAAACTTGGAGACCCCATGTTGAGATATAGATCTACGAGATGAAAGCAGCTTGAATCTGTGAGTAACCTGCTAGCAAAGATTTAATACCAAATCACATAAGATCTTATGTACACAAGAAACTTCCACTGTATTAAACCATTCAGATTTCAGGTTTTACATTTTGCATCAGCTAGTAATTCTTTCATCTGACTAATACACAGGTATTATTTTTATCATTGAGCCTATTTAAATATTTTTATGACAAAACTAATAATAATGGATATCTTTTTCCAAATATTTCTAACAACATATCTAAATCAATCAACTTCCTTCAAAATGTTCCTTCAAAACTCAGCTTTCTCCTTGGAGGGAGGGATGATGAAAAGATTTGACGTGTATAATTATTATTTTTTAAGAGAGATTTTTGCAATAAGGCATGTATGCTCACCAGAGAGACAGAGAGACAGAAAGTGAGAAATCACCCCCCAGGGAAAATGGCCACACTGCAATCCCTTCTCCATTTTCTTTTCAGTATCTTGGGCACGTATGGCGTGAGTTTTAAGCCTCCAGGTCCAGGACTTGAACTGCGGATGACTATGTGGCAGTCCAGCTATGCCATCTGCTGGTCCCAGGTGTGTATTCTTTATAAAAACAATTTTAAGTTGTTGAATACATTAGATGTGTTATACAAATGTATTGTGATATTTTAAGATATGTGTTATACAAATGTATTGTGATATTTTAAGATATTTGGTAGTGGTTTACATATTGCTCTCCTCCTTGCCATTGTCAGTTAGAGTGAGCATGGGATCATTTGATGACAACACATCTAAGTCCACATCAGTGTTTTAACAACTCCCTAGAATTCTAAAGTACATTTGTGCCATAATTGAACTTTTCTGATGGATAAGTAATTCCCCATTGCTCACGATGATTAATAGATCTGAAATCAACATCGTGGACA